GCACGGCCCCGGCTCGGCGTTCGGGCATGCCAGCCCCGCTCTCCGCTGAGGGCAGAGCCCCGCACGGGACACACAACAAGGGACCGGCCCGCTGACCTGTAATTATCAAATCTGAGAACACACCAGAGTCTAAAGTGGGAATAAAATAATCAGTTGAAAGGGTGAGGGAGCTGAGCCAGTTCAGTCTCGAGAAAATGCAGCTGAGAGGGGACTTCATCGATGTCTGTCAGTGCCTGCAGAGAGGGGGCGGAGAATGCACCAGGCCGTGGTGCCGAGCCGTAGAACAAGGGGAATGGGCAGGAACTGACGCACAGAAAGTTTCACCTGAACATGAGGAAAAGCTTCTTCCCTGTGCAGTGACCGAGCCCTGAACAGGTTGCCGAGAGAAGGTGTGGAGTCTTCCTCACCTGGGGATATTCCAGAACTGTCTGGACTCAATCCTGTGCTGTGTGCACTGGGGTGACCCTGCAGTGCAGTTATTACCCACAGAAGGGAGAGGTGGCTGCAATGTTAAAAGAAGACGTGATCTTTTCTTTAGTCGTTGTCCCAAATACCCACTTAATAATGGAGTCCTTGATCTCAGGAGCACTGCTTGAATCAATGCTCTAATTGTGGGTTATTTTCATCGCAGTGACTTCTCTCCTGGGGATGAAAACACCACACAGCGATGAGATCTCCTCAAGGTGACTGAGGTGCGGCTGATACTAGGCCAAAGACAGGGAAGGGCAAAGTGAATCGTACTTGTTGCTTTAGGGAAGAGGAATGCGAAGGTGACCTGGGGCTGGTTCAAGCCGCTTAGTGGACGAAGCAGAGCTGGTGACAAGGCTGGAGCTGGGAGTTCAGCAGCAAAGCCCCCGCTGAGACGGAATGGCCCGCACGGACAGGATGCAGATTTATCCATACGGAGCATCACTTATGGTGGGAATGAAGCGCTCAGTGCTGATGGCGGCCCCTAACCGGGGGAGTCTGGAGGACCTGAGGACACTTGTGAAGGACAAGGACGCAGCCTAGCGCTGGGCACGCGTTTGGGAAAAATCCCCGAGGAACGGGGAAAGTGGCGCTGACCCCAGGGGCCGCCCCTGCCGAGCGCTGCTCGTCGTGCCCGCCCGCGCGCTTGTGCTCCGCGGTCTCCGCGCTAACCACAGAGTTCACCGCAGCGCCGGCCTGCGTGACGCGCAAGGCACTCTGCTCTCCCATTGGCTGGAGGCCCGCGCGCACACGGGCGCGCAGTG